GGTCATTGGACGTTTTCTGGCCTTCTGCCTTGGCACTACCCCGGCAGAGTCGCTCAACGCAGCGGGGAATATATTTGTCTCTATGGTAAGCGCATGAAGACTCACTGTTTGCTTTTTGTTTCTGTTTTTTTGTTGTGTTTTTTTTTTGGGGGGGGGGGGCATTTTATTGTTGTTGTTGTTTTGGGTTTTTTTGTTTTGTTTTTTTGTTTGTTTTTAGTTTTGTTGGGGTTTTTTCATTGGGGGGGGCACTTAAAAAAGCATAACTACATAATCGTTATTCATACAGAATTTCCTCTTCGATTTTGTTGAGGCCTATCTGAAAATTAGACAGGCAGGCAACATCATACGTGGTCTGAAATATACATATTCCTCTTTCTGATTTATGTACATAGCCTTTGGTCTTCTGTCGTACATATCTCCGCTATGTCTGGAAAGAGTTAATTATAGACGAAACTGTGTAGGTTTAATTCCTCTTGCAACACTGTATCATGGTTTAAGCGGCAAGACCTCCGCTGTTTAGTCCATCGTCGAAAGGGTCGACCCAATGAGAAAATTCGATTGTGTTAAGTGCTTTTCTTAAAGACAGACATTTTACTTTAATTTTTATAGAATAGTTTCGTGGAAAGGGTTTTAACGTAAGTGCACTATAATTATTAACTGACAAAAGTATTTTTGTTTAATTGGCAATAAATTTCTCAAATATGTATGACGGCAAGAGATAGGCAAAATTGTCAGAAGAAACATCTTAAATGAAAGATGTGTACAGGGCTCGTTTGCTCAGTTGGATCTACAGAAGATATAACACACGTTTGCCTTTTGAAATTTAGATATTATATTATAGATCACTTTGTCAATGACCAACATAAATTATGTAATCACTTTTATGAATTAAGGATGACTGAAAGGCCCCATTGTCAGGTTTCACATTGTTGTTCTTGTCGGTCTGTCTTACTTTTCTTTTTAATTCATTTATTCAAGCTCTACTTTACCGTATCTTGGGTGACGTGCTTCCCTTTAACCAAATGAACAAGCGTAAGAACACGCTGAGTGGGTGGTTGGTGGGTGCTCTGGTGTGGTTTGCTTCTTCTTTCCTATCAAACATCTATCGTCCCTATCTCCCCTCCTTCCTTTTTATCTTTGTTACTCTCTTGTAACACCTCTAATCTTCTGGCGCTCATATGACCTTGTGCACTTGCGAGCGCCGTAAAACCTCTACAAAAACGAAAACAGGACACGTTGGTGTTCTGTAAAATGCCCCCCCCCTTTTCACCTCTTTTCACTTGGATTCGAAAAACTATTACTTTTACCTCTTTCAGTGATGCGGGAGCCAAGTTTGTCTTCGGGGACGTTGCAGAAATTAATCTACTGAACGGTGACACTTTGGTGGTCAAAGCTGCGTACACTATTCATTTCTTTGCCTTTAAGGTACGTTGATATCTCCACAAAAATTGATGGCGAATATGTCCTACCCCATCGACCAAATATAGCTCTTTAAGAGGCGGGCTGCTGGTTTGGAAGCCCCAGCTGTAATTCGGTTCTACATCCGTGCAGAAAGGTGAAGATATTCAGCGAAACGTTTTCACTTTGTGTAAACCTGTAACTAAACTGTACCCCTACATCCTGCTCCTACTCCTCCCCATATTCTTTTTCTCCTCTTCCTTCTGCCGTTCCTCCTCCTCCTCCTCCTCCTCCTCCTCCCCCCTCCTCCTCCTCCTCCTCCTTGTCCATCTTCTTCTTGCTTTTTTCTCTCCCTCTACGTAGCATATCCTCTCGGATCCTTTTTGACAGTGTCTCTGAAAGCAGAACTTTCTTGTCCCATGTGTCTTTTCTTAACGAAACGAGTCTTCGCTGGTTCGTTTTGGTTTGTTTGTTTGTTTGTTTGGGGGTTGTTTTGTGTTGTTTTGGGAAAACTTTTACAGCAGCAATAGGTCATTTAAGTGACATATAGAGGTGTTACGAGAGAGTAACAAACACAAAAGAAAAGAAATGAGATAAGGACGACAGATGTTTGATAGGAAACCGGAGCAAAAATACCAGAGCACCCGACAGCCATCTCCTTCCAGTGGTCATGTCCTGGCTCCATTGTCATTTTGGGCATCCTCTGAGAGCGATGTTTTCCGGTATTTTTTTTCCGTCTGAAAATGTCTTTTTCCTTCAGATTGTTGCGTCTCATTATGTGACAAAAGTGTGTAACCTTCCTTGTTCTGGTGAGGAATCAGAGTGCTTTTTTTGCTCAGATTCTGTGTGTGTGGTTGGCGAGTGCTCTGTTGTGGTTTGCTACTTTCTATCAAATATACAGCATCCTTATCTCTCCTCCTTTTTTTTTGTCTTTATTACTCTCTTGTAATACCTCTAAGCTCCGACACTTATATGACTTAATTGTGTTGCAATTGCAGTAAAACTTTTACTTAAGCCGTAACTAAAATTCTTTCAATTGAGATGTTCGATCTTCTATTATTCCATTGCACTATTACTATTAGTATTAGTAGACTTCTACAGTACTTTAGATCAATTTACTATCAACAGCAGCAACTTCAAGAGCATTAACAAATCAGCACCAACAGTGACAACTGTAGCCGCAATAAACTTTTCAGCATTCAAACAATTAGCAGCAACAGCAGCAACAGCAGCAACAGCAGCAACAGCAGCAACAGCAGCAGCAACAGAAATAAACTCTTCAGCATTAAAACAGTAAGTAGCAACAGCAGCAGCAACAAGAAATTCATCGCCATTACCGCAGCAGCAACTGTAAACTCGTCAGTATTAACACAGCGGCAGCAGTAAACGCGACAACATCAAAACAGCAGCAGCAGCAGCAGCAGCAGGAATAGGAACAACAACACCAACGGCAGCAACAGCAACAACAACAATAACAACAATATTAATCACAATAACAACAACAACAACATATCATTATTCCCTGCATATGTGTCTCCCTTCCCCTTCAGGTGATGCCGGTGATCACGTTCTTCAGCACCATCATAGCCGTGCTGTACTACATTGGCGTCATGCAGGCCATCATCAGGGTCATTGGACGTTTTCTGGCCTTCTGCCTTGGCACTACCCCGGCAGAGTCGCTCAACGCAGCGGGGAATATATTTGTCTCTATGGTAAGCG